TCAGAGCAGAGATACCCCTGCAGCCCCTGGGAAGGATCACAGTACAGCAGGTATTTCCCTTCGGCCCATGGAAGAGACCATGGTGGAGCACGGATTTCCATTCAGCCTGTGGAGAGGCCCACGGTGGAGCAGGCATTTTGCTGCAGCTCATGGAGAGACCACATCAGAGCAGATATCCACACAGCAGCCCATCCACCCCATGCCAGAGAAGGTGGATATTTCCAGAAGGAACTGCAGTCCATGGAGAGGAGCCCACGCCAGGACCAGGTCCTCCTACAAGGAGCTGTGGCCCATGGAGGACTCACAGTGGAGCAGTTCATGAAGGACTGCAGCCTGTGGGAAGGACCCACACTGGAGCAGGGGAAAAATGTGAGGAGGAAGGCGCAGCAGAGAGGAGCTGTTATGAACTCACCGCAACATCCCATTCCCTGTCCACCCTGCACCACTCAAGGGCGGGGAGTGGAGGAGTCAGGAACAAAGGAGTGAAGCTGAACCCGGAACAGGGTGGTGAGGGGAAGGCGTTGTTTTAATTTTTGTCTTTGTTTCTCGCCATCCAAAGTTATTCTAATTGGTAACAAATTAAATTAATTTTCCCTGAGTTGAGCCTGTTTTGCCCATGAAAGTAATTGGTAAGTGATCTCCATATCTTTATCTTGATCCACAAGATTTTTATCTTATTTTCTCCCCTTGTCCTGTTGAGGAGGAGAACTGAGAAAGATGGCTGGGTAGGGGTCTGGCAGCTGCCCAAGGTCAACCCACCACAAAACCATATCATTTGGAATTGGGTGATCTGGGGGATGAACTTTTTGAGTCTGAAGGATGAACTATTTGGTTCCAAGGTTGATGTCCCAAGAACAAGGTTTTTTTTCAGTCTCTGGCTTTTACCATCTTCCCTATTCCAAATGGAAAGGAATGGCTCTCCAGGCTTTGTAATGGCATAAGTTAGAGGAGTAGCTCCATCAGAGTAAGAGAAGTACATCTTCTGTTTTGATATAAAATTTTGCAAGAACTCAGGAGTCGTAAAGGGTCTTCTTCAGTTAATCTTGTTCTGGAAGACACCATGCAGTAAACCTAAGCCATGGCTGGTTTCAGAGAAGTGAACTTTAGAGCAAGACTGTTGTATCTTTAAACAAATTTAATATATTTGTGTGCAAAAAATAAAGACAAACTCAAGACCCTGTCAAGAGTAAAGCACAGAACAACTAACTAAATGCACAAATGTCCCATATTTTTTGGTGTCTTAAGTCTCAGATATATCAGCCTTTAGGCTCATGAATGTTTTATTCATTCTTTCACAGGTCTTCCTGGGAGATAACCAGTTGGATACTGAGCAAACAAACAAAAAGAGTAATCAGACTCCACTGACCTGTTTAACCTTGGTTGTGAAGGATGAAAAACAGCAGCCGCTTTCTGTGGAACGGGGCTTCTGGTGGCACTTGCTTCCTTCCTTTTGGATTATATTGGCATAAAGACATCAAGATATTGAACTAATAATGTTGTGAATTTATACATGCCAGACTGTGTTGCATCGCTTTTTGAAGCAGGTATGTTACTTGAATCACCTTGCCTTATTTTTCAGCACAAATCCAAATGAATTATGGGTTTGGTAAAAAAAAGGCATATTCATCCAACCTCTGTATAAGATAGTTCATCCTATCCAGGATGAACTAAATGTACACAGAAGAAGTTGTAGTTAACTGGGGTCTCATCCTCTTAGGAGATGTGGAATTGTTATCAGAATTTGGATTGTCTTTTAATACATTTTATTGTCAGTGAAGGAAGTAAACAACATTTTGTTGTCTCTGTTGCACTGGAACAAAAATCAGAGCTTGGAAATAGGATTCTAATGTCATTTCAGCCATAAGGAATGGATCTAGTACTAAAATTGTAACTGTTGTATCTTCCTTAACAAAGAGAGCATAACTTTTTTCCAGAAAAGTGGCATCTCATTGTACTTTTAGTGTTTTATAGGACTGCTTTACATAAGTAAGAAATAACTTAGTGAGACCTTCAAGGTGATTAATCACTAAGAGACTAAATAGACTAGTAAGTTTAAATTTCCATAGCTGACAGGGTTATTAAAATTATTTTATTAGAAAGTACATGATTTTTTAGTTCTTCGGAATAAAATCCATCATAAATTTAGTTTTGTTTTATGCTTCAAGGTTGCCATGTAGGTAATCAGCATAAGCAACAGAATTTTAAAATAACAGTGTCTATCTGTGAATTCATATGGTTGCGTACCATTACCTTGTGCATTAACAGGCTTGATGTGCCTCGCATGATTCTAGTGTGATCAGGATAGATCCCAGGATTATGTTAGATATGCTCTGGACATACCATTATTAACAAGTAGCATCGTAACTACTGCAGGTGGTAAAGTAATATCTGTATGCTCATATATAATTTCATTTTTAATTGTTACTTTAAAACCAAAAGTTTGGTCCATTTAGTTGATGGTTTGTGTATGGCACTTAAAAGTAGAAAGGAATTTTTTATCAGCAGATCACAAGACCCTGAACTGTATGTTAGCGTATTAAGAAAAAGAAAATATCAAAGTAAATATGAATAAATGTAGGTATTTTAGTAAATCAGATACTATGTGCCAGAATTACTCAATTGATTATATTTCTGTGTGTACTTACATGGTATTTCAATTCCCTTTTGGTACTGAGCAAAGCTGAAGAGCTTAAAAGTGTTACATGGCTGGTTCTGAACCAAAGCGTGGCCTAGTAAATTATATATGAATAATGGCAAGATAGTGTTTCTAGCTCAGCAATGAGAAGGGTCGAAATAGCAGAGCAGGCAGTCTTATCTAACAAAACAGGTTCTCAGAATTTTTTCTGATGGCTGTGGTTACAGCTCACTTTTAGGCTTTTTCTGTAATCACTTCTCAACATTTGGAGAAGGGTGCAACATACAAAGAAATAAAGAGGTTGTGGTGAGAGTTTTGTTGTGGCAAGTCTGCCATCAAAGAGCTGCAGTTTTCTATTATGAATGATAGGTATCTGTACCTGGTGTTTTAAATTACGGTTTATATGAGTTTCTTCATGTCATTGCCTAGCATTAGCTAAGTCTGGTTTAAAAATGTTTGGTTCTTCAAACATAGTAGAGCCATTCAGTGGCTCATTCAGCTCTAGGAGAGCCATTCAGTGGAGAATCACTTCTTTGTCTGCTTTGCCTCTGCAATGCATGAAGGAACAAATGATAGATCATAACTGGACCAAATCTGTCAGCCTATGCTTAGCCTTTACTTGCACTATACTATAAAGGCACCTTGTTAAATTTATCACAAGCTCATGAATTCAGCCCCAACTCTTGTACCTCAAATAACTGACTGACGTCAGTATTTCCCATGCATAAGTTTGCAATAAATGGTTACTTTTGTAATACTCAGGTCGATTCTTGATATCTAGACTCCTTGCCTAGGACTGGATTCCTTCCGCCTGTCATCAGGCACATGAGCTGGGAATGCGGTCATCCTGAGCATGCTGTAGAGGTAATAGGGAGAAAGTCTGTGGTCAGTTGTCCTCTGAGTATGTCTGTCTGTCTGTTGACAATATAAGGAGTCTAGTTTAACTCAGCTTCAAACTTAAGCACTCAAATTAGGCACCTAAAATTGGTTAGGTGGAATCTGAGCCCTTGTGTTGAGAAAGCAAAAATTCACTGCTCTGTTGCATTAAGTTATACTTAGAGGTACAAAGCTCTTACCCCACTGCAAGAAGCCAATAGCCTTAACAAATAGCATAATTATTCTTCTAAGACTTAGAAAAAATAGATATAAACAAACACAAATAAAACTAGGTGGAAATACTATGTGCAGGCATTAATGCTGTAGGAAATTTAGCCATTCATGCATCTGGAGTACTTTGTCCAGTTCTGGGCTCCCCAGTTCAAGAAAGATGAGGAACTCCTAGACAGAGTCCAGAGGAGGGCAGCAAAGATAATTAGGGGACTGGAGCATCTCTCCTTTGAGTAAAGGCTGAGGGAGCTGGGCTTGTTTAGCCTGAAGAAGAGAAGACTGAGGGGGGGTCTCATAAATACTTAAGGGTGGATGTCACGAGGATGGAGCCAGACTCTTCTCAGTGGTGCCCAGCGACAGGACAAGGGACAATGGGCACAAACTGAAGCACAAGAGGTTTCAGTTGAATATGAGGAAAAACTTCTTCACTTTGAGGGTGACAGAGCACTGGAACAGGCTGCCCAGGGGGGTTGTGGAGTCTCCTTCTCTGGAGATATTCAAAGTCTGCCTGGGTGATGTCCTGTGCAATCTGCTCTGGGTGAACCTGCTTTAGCAGGGGGGTTAGACTAGATGATCTCCGGAGGTCCCTTCCAACCCCTGCCATTCTGTGATTCTGTGATTTCAGTGACAGCAACGTCAATCCTTTAATATGAATGGTGATACCTAACACAAGAGCATCTGTTCTTTGTTTTTTGCTTTTCCATTTTCTCAAATAATTTTAAAGTATCTGAAGGGATGGAGGATAATTTAGAGGAGATATTATTCTAGTTTCATGTATTTTTAACCTTTTACTACCTGATTAAAATGTACTACAATTAACAATATGAATGAATATGAATGAAATTAATATCTTAAAGAGTGGATGTCATGAGGACAGAGCCAGACTCTTCTCAGTGGTGCCCAGCGACAGGACAAGGGGCAATGGGAACAAACTGAAGCATAAGAGGTTTCAGTTGAATATGAGGAAAAACTTCTTCACTTTGAGGGTGACAGAGCACTGGAACAGGCTGCCCAGGGGGGTTGTGGAGTCTCCTTCTCTGGAGATATTCAAAGCCCACCTGGACGAAGTCCTTTGTAACATGCTCTAGCTGAACCTGCTTTAGCAGGGGGGTTGGACTGGATGATCTCTGGAGGTCCCTTCCAACCCTTGCCATTCTGTGATTCTGTGAACAATAAGAAGTACTATCCATATATACTTGCAGTCCCTGCTGTTTTAAATTCTCTTCTACATTAGCAGCTTTGGTAATGCACTGCTAACATGGCTGAACAAAGGCAACGTGCTTTGTCAACATCGGGGGAAGCATTATATGAAATCCTGGCCCTAGAGAAGGGAGCAACACACGATGACATTAAGAAGTCCTACAGGTAAGTAAAATGTGCTTTGCAACATGTCTAAAAATGCTTGTGTGTCTGGCATGATTATGATGGTAAAACCTTTTGAGTCACCTGCGCTGTAGACATTCATTGTTGTTACAATTTTTTTTTTGCACCGTGAGCCTGAAAGCAATCGGAGATGATGCAATGTGACTCTATTGATTTCATCCCACAAGCAATCTGTGTGCTTCATCTAAAATGTTCTAATCTAGCTGAATGAGAGGTCAGACTGTTAGGATAAAATAACGCAGACTATGCTTGCCAAGTGCAGCCTTTGAATACTGCACCCAGTTCTTGTGTTAACAAGTTTCCTGAAGTATGTTGAAAAGTAAAGCCAATGCAGAAAAGTGCTGTAATAACGATTCCAGACCTAGAGTAAGAGACATAAAGAGTTTGATCAGTTTACCTTGTCATGAAGAAGATGACCGATAAATTATTTGATTATAGTGTGCAATATCTTTGAAGGGGGAAAATGCTAGGTGTGAGGGGTTTCTTCACTTTATGAAGGCAGGCATAACCAAAACCAGTGCTTGGAATCTAAAAGCAATTTGAGCTGAAACAGAGGTATGTGGTTTTAACAGGGAGCGTAACCGACCACTGAAACATGCTGGCACAGGAAACGATACGTTGTCTGTTGAAAAAGAAGAGAGGACTTTAAGATAAGTTTTACTCAAGCACAAGTTATCAAAATGGTGAAAAGTATGTTATTGATGAAATGTAACAAGACTTAGAAGTAAGACTAGAAGACTTTATGGGTAATTTTCTTCTTAAATCTATTCTGCTGCTATTAAAAAGAGAAAGAACTTTAAATGCCATGAGTGAAATAGATGTTCTTGACATCACAATATGCCAGACATGTACTTGCAGGTTTAACAAATACAGTAAAACTTTTATTACAGCATCATTCTGGGTGTTGTTGGTTGCCCTGTATTACGAGTCAAACTTTAACACGGCTTGCACTTCCTATCAAATGCAAGAATATATTTGAACTGAAAAAGAGTTTATGAAATAGATCTACTTGCATCATTGCTCCATTTGAATTTTGCTGGGACTCTGTCCTCTGTGTTTTTGAACAAATTACATCTCTCCTGCTTTCTGTTCCTAAAGGCATATATTCAGTGGAGGCAGGAGAAGTAGCTAATGTTCAAACTCTACACACAATGGAAGGAAAAGAATCGACATCTCTTGATTCTGTTGTCTTGCATAACTATACCACTGGGGGATAAACTGACTACAGTATCAAATTCACTCATGACTTGCACCTTCTGCATCCCTGCAGTATAGCCTGGCTGCAGAAACCATCCTCTGTATCAAACCTCATGTTTTCCTGTTCCTTTTACATTTAAATTTATGGAGACGAGGCCTTCTTTAATCCCCAAAGGAGAGAGTTGTCATGGAAGAATGTAGAACGGAATTAGCTATATTTAATGCTGAACATGAAGAAGGATGATTTACACAGCGATCTACGGTAAAACTGACAGTGGTGCTTTATCCATCTTTATTAGTAATTATAGCAAAAAAAAGGCTGCTTCTCACTCAAATGGAAATGTCAGAGGGATTCACTTTTAATGGAGTAGCTGTAAATATTTGCAAGATAAAATGATGAGTCAGTCCCATAGATTTGCTTTAATTATCTTTTAATTTATGCTAATCCAAAAATCTGCTGCTGAAGTGGTATTCTTTAGTACAAGGCATAAGACCAGCAATACCTGATTCTGAGTTCACTGCCATTATTAATTAAGTCAGTATTAATCATACTACCACAACCCAGGGCAAAATTTACTTTTTAATAAACATGACAGAGGTACCTCTCTATGCTTTTATTTGCAGTTGGCACACTCTAATTTGTCAAGGAGCAAAGCTAACAGGTTTCTAATCAGCAGAATTTCAGAGGAGATCTGTTTTCGTTCAATACCCTACAAAAAAAGTCTTTAGAAACTTGGCTCAGCATAATAAATTAATCCGTACATTGACTTACGCTTCCCAGTCTGAGAGTGAAGTAATATCCACAGGGATAACATATCCTTTATATTTTCTTCGGAGGTTTAAAAAGATCCAGCTTGATAAACTATTTACAAGAAATTAAGTACATGGACAACTCTGTGAGAGGGTACATATTGCCAATTGAAAATTCTACTAGGAAATGTGTGCAGTATTATGAATCCAGCTTAATGACTGACAAACATAGAGGAATAGTTCTTTAACTGTATTTATGACAATAGCCAGTATTACTCCTGAAAGAGCACTAAAGGCTCTCCTACTCTGGACTCTACCACTTGAGCACAGAAAGAGAGTAAAGCCCCAGACCTGAACGCAAATACAGCTCCTGGACCCACGGGTGGAGGTGGAGGCCCCGCGCGAGGCTGGTCAGGGCCATTCAGGGCCTGAATGACCTACTAGGGCACTCCGGGCCCGGAGGAGACGCAAAGGTAGCCATGCGAGGGAGCCTGCGGTCCTGCGCTGCACCAGCAGAGCTACTGACGGGCCGGCAGGGCCCTCCCCCAGCTCTGCCTCCACGACGGAGCTGTCAAAGCAATCAGCGTGGATGAGACCTCAGCCCATGTCTCTTCCAGCAGCGTCCTCCAAGCACCCCCAGACCAGGGATCCCAGCAGCTTGCTCAGAGCTTCAGCCAGTCGGCTCAGGCCAACCTCCAAGCAAGGAGACTGCACAGCACTCCGGGGCACCCTTCTTCTCCCGCCTGGCTGTCCTGATGGGAGAAAAAATTGAACCTGCCCTGCTCCAGTTGTGGCCCGTTGCTTCTCAGTCCTCTGCCAATCACCACGGTAAAAAGCCTAACTGTTGAATCAATACCCTCCTGATAGGCATTCTGATAAACTGCCGCTTCTCTCCCCCAAAGCCCCTCTTCTCCCGGCGCCGGGCAAGCCCACGTCCATTGGCCTCTCCTCAAAGAGCAAGTGCGCCTGCTCCCAACCGTCCGGGTGGCCTTGTCCTGAGGTCGCTGCGCTTGGCTAATGTCTGTTTTCTACACAGAGGCCCAAAGTTGGTATTCTAGATGCCATCGACCGGATGTCGAGCAGAGGTGCGGAATGCCTTCCCTCGGTGCAGAGCCCAGGCTGCTCTTGGTGCAGCCCGGGATGCTGTCCCCTACGGTGCAGGGCAGGTGCACGCCCAGATCCACACAGCCCCCAGCGGACAGGGGTCCCGCTCCCAGGCAGAGGGCCTCCTTGTGTCCAGGCAAGGGGAACGAAAAGCGTTGGAGAATGCGGGCATCGATCCCGCTGCCTCTCACATGCTAAGCGAGCGCTCTACCACTTGAGCTAATTCCCCAGCCCACGGCCTCTGCCGGGGGGCTTCTCCCTTCCCAGGCATCCACCCCTGACCTGACCCCTCATACTAAGCTTCCCATTGACAGAGGTGCTGAACATATTTCTCTTACTTGATTTCAGTGAGTTTCCCATCCATCTTGTAAGATGGCTTTTTCTCTGCTTGCTGTCACTTTTTTCTCCGAAACACATCGCATTACTTTTGGCTGTGAAGGTCTTCAGTGGTCAGTTGTCCTACGGTGGTGAAAGAGAAGGCCAGTTATCATAAGAAAAATCTGAATGGACATAAATCCATTTGTTTGGTATGGGAGGTAGCCAGTGAACTCCTGTGTTCTTTTCACTCTGTTTTTTGGTTCCTT